GTGTGAGAAGGGTCCTGTGGGGCAGCGGGAGCGCCCGGCGGGGTGAGGGGCGGCGAGGGCCCGGCCTGAGGGCGGCACTCCCGGCGCTGGCCCTACCGCCATCTCCCTCATGTCCTCCCTGCCCTTTAGGAAGCCAGGGGTAGAGAAAACCTTTCGTTAAAATAGTTCTGGCTGTTATATTGTTGTTCTTTTCATACTGAAAGCCGGAGTTGCCGGCTGAGGCAGGCAGCACGGCGTGGCTGGACATAGCCGAGCGAGCCGCAGCCAGGACAGGTCTGGTGCTGGTGTGGGCAATGGCAAGGCCGGGCCGTTACTTGGGGTGCCAGGGGCTTCGTGGGCAGCCTGGTGCCCACCTGTTTCTGCTAGTTGTGGTGTAGCTATAGCCTTGGATGCGACGCTGTCATGGAAATTAGGTGCAAGAAGTTCGTATTTCAGGGGATGAAATCTGCCTGTAGCTTGAGGTCCAATTTCGATAGGTACGTTGTGATAAAAGAGGCTCTTCTGTATACTGGGATTGTGGTTTAATATTGCTATTTCAGGTTAGCTAATACCACTCTCTTTCTTTCAGGGAAGTCTTTTTTATCGAGAAAAGCTTATTCTTCAGTTCTGGGATGCATAGCGTGTTCTCTGTCACATGTAAGTCACTGAGGTATTTTATCCTCCTAAGCACCTCATGCTGTATTTGGACTGACTTGCCAAGGCCTCGGCTTGGCTGAGATCTTTAGGACAGAGATCTTGTCTTCTCTCATGTTTGATTAAATGCAGTACATGATGTTAGCAGCTCAAGTGATCTTGTTTCTCCTGAAAGAGAGAACTCTGTGTGCTGCAACTATACGTATAATATAAAGAAAGTTTGACCAGCATAATGAGATAGATCCGCAGTGTTGCAGAGGAGTAAATAAATGCATTGATGCAGAGGAGTGTAAAGCAAAGCGGAATAAACAGGTCTGCCTACATATTGTTCAAATGTTTTAAGATTCAGTCGTTCACTGCTTTCTGCAGAGAGTGGACTGCTTGGTGCTGGCCCTTTTCATTTTCATCTAGCTTGCTACAAGAAATTAAAATAATTTACACGTGATAAACATTTCCTTTACATTCTCCATCCATACAAATTATAGTAGTGATCAGAGAGGTGTGCAACTGCAAATGGAAGGGGCAATTATCCATACTGCAGGAAGTGGGAGTCAGCTGGATACCAATGAGACTTAGGCTGTCAACACCATGGAGGGACAAAAATGTAGTTAAGAAAGTGTATGCCATTTAGATCAGCAAAATCTGCTTTGTATACTAAACCTCTCCAACCCAAAGATTCACCTTTCATTGATTGCTTTATGTTGTATTTTCCTTCTCAGGAAAGTAATGTTGCAAACAAGCTAGCAAACGCCCAAGCTGAATAAGATCAGTATCTGGAAGAATCTAAGAGGTTAGGCTGACAGTTTTCATGCTCCGGGTTATAAAGAGTGGTGAAGTAGGGCTGGGAGAAACATTACCTTTTCTTTAAAATTCTAATCAAGATATACAGAGAATAGCACAGAATAACTAAGAATAACACAGATCCTCACAGTTCCCACTAAATACCTCCCTGGCAGCTTGATACTTCATTATTTATCATCATCCTTTTTTTTTATGGTAACAGTTGACATTAGGTTATTACTCACCTGGCTGGTATTTGAATTTATTCCCTAGAGGTTAAAGACTTTGTAGTTTCATGTTCTCAGTCCTTTTTAAAATTCATAATTTTAGAGCATGGAAAATATATTGTTCTGTCAAGTTTATTTCTCTGACATTTATTCAGTGGAGAGTGTGATCCTAATGTTAAAGGCTTTTGATTTCAAGCCCAGGACACAGATAATTCTTTTCGCTAGTCTTCCCTAAAACAGGTCATTTTATCACTGTGGTTCCCCTTGTTGGTGACTAGGAAGTTAATACGTTGAACGGCATAATTATTTGAACCAGTATTTGTTTTTAAGGGATTTGTGGGTGATAATAGATGGCTCAACCCAGTTGTGTCAGAAGGTATGAAGATTTCCATCTGCTAATGTCATGGAGTTGGTCCTATATAGAGCCATAAATAATATTGTGTGAGAAGCAGTGACAGGCTTTTACTTCAGCTCATCTCTTTGTCATATGTTATATAAAATTTAAACATAATCGTTGAATTCCTTTGTGTGGGTAAATGGGTTTTGATGCCTCCTTCTATTAAAGTTGTAATATCCCTTTTAACCAGAGGGCTGCATAAGAATTCATACTTTCTAGGTATGTTTCTCAAATAATCATAATCTCACTAATGTTGCCAGCAGAACTAATTGGGCTGTCACAACGAGGTTCAGTACCCAGTTGCAGAATTACAGTGTGAGGCCAATGGAATTGAGCATATTCTGATGGTGGAGAAAGTTAATGTGACTCATTAATGAGATGCTCATAAGCATTATTCTATATGAAAAGGCAGGTAGTTTGAGGTTGTTTTTTTTAAACTGTGGAAATATGAAGGACAAATGCAAGAACTCTTATGAAATTTCAAAGTATTTGTTGACGGTTCAAGATACAATAAAAGTTTTCTTCTTTATCAGCACAGACATTGAAACTACTGCCAAGTAGCACCTAGGCACCATAAATCATTGATGAGGGTGGATAGTTTGAAAATATTACAAAGGAAACGCTCTAGGGCATGCAGCATCTCAGGAAGTCACTGTTTAGGGCCTGCCGTATTTAAAATGGTCATTTCAGTTTCATTAATTCACATCTCTAATTAATGGAAATGGATTGATCTTTGCTTAAAGTTGCTAGAGACTGGCTGGTGTCCATGGCAGATCAGAAGTGTGCATACAAATTAAATGTTAAAAGTGTCCACTGAGTTTCAGACAGAAAAAAATGTAGACCTATATTTGTAGGTAGCTGTTGTTAATTATGCCTCAGTTGGTAGCTGGAAACCACAATTAGCTGCATTTTCACTAGGCTTCATGGTGGAGGAAAGAGGACTAACAATCTTTTGTGAAAAACAGATAAACTGTCTCTTACTATCTTGTCCTTGGTCACAGTAGCATCTCTGCAGGCAGGTACACTTTTGTCTTGGTCAGACTTGGTAACCACCCTGGGGAGAGAAATATCCAGTGAAGATCCTGCTTGTGAAGAGCGTGACAAGTGTCTTTTTATGCCAAGCTTTTGTACAACGTGCTGCTTCTGTGAGTTGCTGGAGAGCGTTGTACGCTTTCCCCAGCGTAACCTGAGGAAAGGTTGTCCTTAGGATGAGACTCAAAACAGAAATGACCACTTGTGATTGCGAAGGAGCCACGGCTGCATTTCCAAGGTTTGGTATTAGCCTCAGTGCATAGGCCAGATTCCAGTTAGCATAACTACGCTCTGCCTTCTTAATTCTGCTTTGCGCTTTCAGCTGGATAAATATTCTTACTCACTGTGTCTCCTAACGTGGTGGTAAATAGCAAACATCGACCTTCCCATGTTTGGGTGCATTTCAATGCAAACTGCATACATAGGTTGCAGATTTCCTTGTGAGTCGTTTCTCCTTACAATAGCAAGAAATTGCAATAACCTTATGGGAAAACATCTGAAAATGCAATAAAGTTCCATTAGCCAGCATTATAAAATACCTATTCATATATGTACATACGTATATATTTCCATTTATATGGAAGCATCCAAACTCCTCACCAGAGACGACATAAAGGCCTGTTGGAGAACAGACACAGCTGTGGGAAGTGCTCTGTCTGAAGAGCAGAGAGGAGACTGACCAGGCATTTGCCAGTAGTTTCTCAGAGGAAGTAAAACTTTATAGTGGAGAAGAGTTAGAGTTAGATCCACTCTTGATTTCTCAAAGTACTTCACTTGGAATTGTCTGTTTGCTGATCCCAAACCTAAGATCGTACAGGATGGGACTGAATCTCTCAGTCACGTCTTTCACAATAGTCTTGATCTTTTCTGTCTGAATAGATTCAGTGCTGCTCACAACAGCAACTTGAGCGTAAGAAGGTTCCAATGCACGATCCTCTTGCTTTCAGAGACACACAAAGGTGTTGTTTTTTAACTCACTCTGCGTCCTTGTATACATGCTTGCATCAGTTCTTTTTAATTTTTCCCCATGCAGCGTTATTGTGGGTGTCTTCAAGGAGATGCTTTAAATAGTTGGGTATTTGAGACCAGTGGTTTATCATTGTGCTTCTGTGGACTACTGCATTCCCTTAGATGGACAGGTGGTTTTTTTTCCCTGAACACGACATTAATTCATATGAAAGAGGAGAACTCAGAAACCCATACAGTAAATGTTTGAGATTTCCTTCATTTTCTTCTCTCCTTTTATTATTTTTGCTTAATGATTTCGCTGTGGACCATCCTGATGACTTCCCAGTGTGTTGCTCCGGGGAGAGCTTTCAAAGGGAAAGGCAAAGTCATCACACACTTTGGACAGATCGACACTACACTTATTAATCAGTTTTCTTCACTAATACGTTGATTCTTTTGGGACTCTTTCAGAATTTACTTCAAACTGTTGAGTTGTTTTGACAGTTCAGAAAATGCCTTAATTCAGAAATTGCAGTTTTTCATATTGACACTCTGTTTAACCCATCATATATCCATCTGTTGTAAAAACACAGTATTTATTCATTCTTCAGCTAGCTTTTGTGATA